CCCAGCTCGGGGCTCGCTGCATTTGCATTGCTGTCCTTTTGACTGGGTTGGCTACAATGGGGTCTGCTACGGCTTCTCAAAAGCCTACAGCAGCTGGGAGCAGGCTCAGGAACGGTGCTCCGAGCTCGGGGCCTCCCTGGCCATTGCCAAGGACGAGGAGGAAATGGTGAGTGAGGGGCTGCGGGCGGTGTGGGGTGGCTGAGGGCAGCCTGGGGGTGCTCCTGGGCCGGGCTCGGTGCTCGTAGGGCCGGGGCTGCAGCCCTGGGCCGGGGCCTTGCAGGGAAGGAGCCCCGGCGGGCGGGGGCAGCCCCGGGCACGGGTCCCCCCGAGGGGCCGGGGCAGCTCCCACTCCTCTCTCCCGGGCAGGATTTGCTCTTCCGCCTCCGCGGGAACGGCGATTACTGGCTCGGGCTGCGCAGACGGGGCGAGCGCCTGCACTGGGGGGACGGCAGCAGCTACAGCTCCCGGTGAGTGCCGGGGAGCCGGGCAGGGCCTGGGGGGACAGGGGCACAAGGTGTTCCCTGGTGTCTTGGTTTGACAACACAATTGTTTGTTTACGAAGACAGGATCCTTCCCTGAAATAGAAAAATGTAAACCCCTCCCTCGGAATTATTATAATTTTGATATTAAAACGCTCTCAGGCAAAGATATGGGAATAGGAATAACGCTTATTGACTAGGAGATCTATAATTACAAATGTAATAGTATAAACAAAAAAACCCCAAAAACCTGCTGACCGGGTCCGAATATTACCTGGCACCCTGTGGTTCAGGGTGGTGGCAGCAGTCCCAATAAATGCTGGCTCAGCCCTCCTGCAGTGCCAGCTGTGGTTCTGTTGGAGCAGGGATCCTGGAGACCGGTGGAGTTTTCCTCTGAAGGTCCAGGGCTTTTGTAGATGGCCTGGTCTTTCTCTTGGAATCCAGTGAAGAAGAAAGCTGCTCCTCAGGAGCAGTGGAAAAGGCTGCTTTGGTGTTCCAAACTTCAGATTGTATCTAGGTAGGAATGCTTGGCTCCTCCCCCTGGGCAGAGCACTACCAGTGGGATGATAGAATTTTATCAGCCATGCAGGGACACTCACTGTCCCATGAACAGAAGAGATCTCCTGGAGGGAGGACTGACTGTGGAGGAGATAAAGAAAACTGCCCAGCTAACAGAAGATAACTGCTCCTCCTCTAACAGATGGGAATAGAATACCCCTATTTCCAACCTAAGACACCTGGAAACCAGCGCTGCCTCTGCTCCTCCCTGCAGGGTTCCTGTCTTCGGCAATTCCGAGTGTGTCTACCTGGCTGATGGGAATAGATTCAGGAGTGAGAACTGCTCCATTGCACGGCGGTATCTCTGCAGCAAGGCCCAGGCTCCCCTGTAACAGGGGCTGCAGAAAGGACCTTCTCCACGCTGGGCAGTGCCAGCTTCACCTCTGAGCCCAGCACAGGGCTGTCCTTCCTCAGCGGCACCCTGTGCCTTGCACTCGCTCTCAGGGTCACCTCAGTGCCTCTTCATCCATCCCCAGTGCCAGCGCTGGGCTGGGTGTGCAAAGGAAAAGTCTCTGCAATCCATCCTGCCACCGATGCTGCCTGGAGTGAGTGCTTTGCCCTCACTGCACAATAAGCTCCGATGGGAAATCCAAATCGCCCTGGGCTCTTGGAAATCATCACAAACTGGCCTGAAGGTGACACTTTTGGACTGTATCCCTGCCATCATTCCCTGCACCATGACCCGGCCCCACGGCGGCTCCGGGAGTTCCGAGGGGGCAAAATGGGAGCGAGGGAGAGCAGGCAGCTGGTGCCAGTGGGTGAAATGGCTTTGCTGCCAGCTGGCAGGGAGAGGATGAGGAGGAGGGAGAAAGTGGAGCAAAGTAAAGAGGAGAGAAAGAGGGACAAGGCTGGAGCGGTGGAAGGCACCGGGGATGGCCATGGGGCAGGCGGGCATTTTGCTTTCCCGCTGTGTGGAAGGAAAGGAAGAACTGTGAAATCCATTCAGGAAAAGAGGGGGGAAATAGCAGGTGGTGGAAATCTCTGACAACTGGGATTGATTTGATCTGCCTGAACTGCACAGGCCGGCAGACTCCGAGCACCGCCCGCGCTGGGATGTGCCTGGCCCTGCCCCTGCCCTGGCTGCAGCCCTGTCTGTTGAGACTTCCCCTTGTCTCTAAAGGAGCTGCACCGAGGGACACTGGGGCAGTGCTGGTTAAGAAGTGAGGCATGGAAAAGGATGGGAAGTGTGAAGGGAATAAAATAGTGTAAGAAAAAATTATAACAGAACTGCACCAGGAATGGTCACTGACCGCTGTCACTAAAAGAGCTGCACTGAGGGGCAGCCATGCATTTCCATTTCCACACGGAAATGCTGTGACTTGCCTTCTCCTTAATAAGCATCAGTGGGACTTTCAAGGCCAGCAGGTACACTCAGATGTCCAGAATCATCATTACAGTGGGAAAACTGGGCTTGGCATCAGCTGTGACCAACATGAGGAAGAGCACAGGAGCAGAAATAGAGATTTCCCAGCTCCCTCCCACGGAGAACAGCACCAGCACAGGGACAGAAAATGCTGCTATAACATCCCTTCCCAGTGGTCCCTGTGCCCAGCTGTAGGTAGCATCCTTTAGCTAGTGCTCTTCAGTGTTTTTACCCAAGGAAATACTGCAGAGGGATGCAGAAGATTTACCAGCATGTTAAAAAGAAGCTGAGAGACCAGGAAGGCTGACATTTGGGATAGGGACAGAAGCAAATTCACACATCATATGAATTAAATACGGCTGCTGTGAGTACGCACCACAGAGGAGAGCTAGATTAAATTAGAATATATTCCAAAACTATTTGGCCTTATAACTGCAGGTAAGGTTAATAACCCTCAAGAATGAAAAAAACCCCGAAATCTGGTCTGAACTAATTTGTCTGTGGGGTTTGGAGGGGCTCTCCTGGGGATATGTGGGGGTGGTCTGTAGGATTTGGGTGGGGGGCTGAGGTCTGGGGGTACCTCTGGGACTCCTGCTCTTTTTCCTTCATATTTCCCATCCTTTTTCTGCTCATGTTTTGCTCCCTTTTCTCCTCACCTTGCTAGAGTTTTCCTGCTTATTAAACACCACATTTCACCATTATGACATCTCCATTTTTTAACTCTTTTCCACCTTTTTCCGCTGCCTTTTTTCCTGCCTTTTTTTTTTTAATCTTTTTTGCCACCTCTTTTCCACCACTTTTTTTTCTCCATTTTTTCCTCTGCCCTATTTTGCCGTCTTTTTTTGCTGCCTTCTTTCCCCCCTGCTTTTTCCCCTGCCTTTTTTTCCCCATCCTTTTTTGCTGCCTTTTTTTCCGTTTTTCCCCCACACACTTCTTTTCCACCATTTTTGCCACCCTTTTTCCCCCATCAGTTTTGCCACTATTTTTTCCCCACCCTTTTTGGACGCCTTTTTTTTCCCCCCGCTTTTTTTGCTGCTTTTTTTTCCCAGCCATTTTTTTTGCCACTCAGTACAAATCCCTAAATTGATGGAATCGGTGGGAGTTTCTACCAATTTAAATTCTAAAAACTAAGGCACAACAGAGACTCCTTGTCAGTTTAAACTGAAAGATGATGAAAATTGAAGGTTTGCTCTCATTTCAAACCAGTAAAATCCCATCATAAAGGGTCTTCCCTGATCTATTTCAGCAAGAAAAGGGGGATTCCCCATCCATTGATATCCCTGAAATCATGGCCAAGGCAGGGTTTCTTTCAGTTGATACCCTTAACATTGCAGGTGAATGGGGATTCCCCAATTTAAACACAGACAATAAGGGAAAATTAACCAGTTAACTTCAGAATACACTTTGACAGAAATCCATTGAAAGGGAACCACACCACACCTCTCTTCCCTAATGAATTCCATCAGGCTTCCTTCACTAAAACTCTCTCACAACTCAAAGCGGAGATGCCTCGTGGGTTACCTCAAAGCAGTGGAAGAGGCAGCATGGAAATGCTTCTTCCATGGCAAACTCTCCTGGGAGCACTTCCAGAGCCCTGAAGGGCTCCACTGTGAAGCTGCTGAAGAAATGGAAATAGTTGGGATGAGCACAGCCCCAGAGAAATCCCAGCCCCACTGATGGGAAAGTCAGATTATCCAAGCAGCAACATCAGCTGGAGTGTTTGCAAAAGAGCAGCTTTGTTCTGAACCTCAGCTTAGGAGTTCTCCTCATGCACTGCAAGAGTCCTTCCATCTGTTTGGACCTTTTGTACAGCACAGGCCACACAGCAGCTAAATGGGATCATGTTCTTCAACTCAGTCATGTTTTAAAGTATCTAAACTTGATCTAACTACTCATCAGTGAGAATTTTATGTATTTCCAGTGTAAATTACCTTCCCTGGTCAAACACAAACCCTTCCCAAGGTTCAAGTACCTCTGTTTTCCACCACTAACTGCTCTTTATCATTGTCTGAATCAAAACACCTCTGTTAATCCCATTTTTCCACCACAGATTTGTCTGAGTCTCTCACCTCTCAGCAGTTCAAATTCCTTGAAATTTGGCAGAACCTTCTTTAGAACTTCCCAGCTCTTGCTGTCCATCTCTAATCCCTGTCCAACCTGCCAGTGCTCTCCCTGAACTGCTGACAAAGTAAATGACACAGCATCAGTGGAGGACAACTGACTAAGTGCTGAATGCAAAAGAAATAAAGAGAAATTAAGAACTGATTTGGACCCAGCAGGACTGCAGTGCTGGTGTCTGTGTATCAAGAATTTCAACGTATTTTATTTCAAATTTATCTTCTTGAAACTGAAGTTCTCCTATCTGAAATAGAGTTTTTATTCCACATGAAAGCAATGTGCTACATGCCTTCCAGCCACAATTTCACAGAAGAAAATCCCAAACTGTTCAGCTTGGGCTCACATACAGCTACTGCTGGCATGACACCAACATTCAGCAATAATGGAATTCATTCAGAAAACGAACAATTCTAAAAATGCTTTCACTCCAACAACAGGTACTACACTGAGGAAGTTATGCATACCTTCAAAAAATGCATTAATCAAGATGCATTTCTATTTTTATTGAAATAAAATTTAAAAATACTTCTTGCCAATATTTACATTTTTGCTCCAATTACTCTTCAAATCCTTGTGCTTAATAAGAAACAGGCTCTTACAGAATTGTCACAAGCTCTCACAATGCAGCATCGTGCTCTGGGGAAGGATTAAATGTCTGCCCAACATTTCACCAGCATTCCCAAATCCCTGAGACTCTTCCTGCAATGTGCTATTTCCCCACCTGCCCCTGAAGACAGCAGCATTTTCAGAACAAGAACTGCTTCCCAGATATTGAACCCACTCAGCAATAGGTAAAAGGACATTTTAGAAATGTGGCAAACTGGATCACTTATTGGAAAAATGGAAGAGAGGACTTGAAATTAAAACCTTTGGCCTCTTCTTCCACCTCCTGCTCGTCTGTGTGTGCTTCATCTCCCCAGCACCCATGTCGTGTCCAAAGCCTCTCCCTGTGCTGCTCAGCTGCCAGTGAGCTCTGTGTTCTCAGGTAAATTCACCCCCAGGCTCTGTAAAATGTTCGAGGTGGGTCCTGCCAGGCCAGCCTGGGCACTGTAGGACTCGAGCAGGTTTGCCACCAGGTTCATGTCCACATCCACGGGGGCCAGCTCAGCAGCCTCAGCTCCAGAATCAGGGCCAGCACTCTCAGATGTGGCCACTCCAACAGAACTTGCCTGCAGCGAGTACAAAGAGAAAGGTTTATCAAAGTGCATGAGCAGATTTAAAGGGAAAAAAAAAAAATGCAAACCACAGGAGAAAAGAAACAACAATTCTGCAGCCAAGAAAGTCCAGTACACTCCTCAGTCTTGACAAACTGGAATGCAGCCACCAAATGCTCATGCCAGCTAAAAATCACCACTGTCCATTACCCAGATCAAGTTCCAAGAGAAGGACAGAAATTGTTCCTGAGTCCTGGCTCAGCCTCCCATGGGAGAAAACTACTACAGGAACTCACAAGTGAAGCTGCAGCTGCTTGCCCTACTGGTGAAACCAGGAAAATGGAACTAAGCCTTGGAAAAGATGGGCAAATTCAAAGCTTAGGGAGGCTTCAGTTTGAAATAAAAGGTATTATGGTGCAGGTCCAGCACACTTTGCTTGCAGGTGGGAAGGTTCTGATCCCATTACTCAGAATGGCCACTTGCAGCACATTTCCTGCTTGGAAATGACTGCTGCAATCAGAGCTCAAGGCACACTCACCCCTCTCTTGTGGCTGGTGAAACTTTTCCCTACGTTGGTCTGTGCCAGCTCACGGTCCATCTCCTTCATGTACGCCTTGAGACTGCCCACGAGCTCCTCAGGAGACACCTTCTGCTCCTGCCTTTGATTCCCAGCATCCAGGTCTTCATCATCCTCATCTGAGAAACCAAACTCCTCCTCTTCATCCACATCATCAGAATCCAGCTCCTCCGAGTCTGCCCCTGGACATTATTTTGTGTCAGTTCAACAGCAAAGAAATCAGTGCGGGGATTTATTTCAAATAAAGAAGAAATCTCACCTAAAATTCTGTCCAGGGCTTTCGTAAAAGAATCCACGTCAAAGGTAACATGGGACTCATCAGATGACCTGAAAGAGAAAAATATTGTTAAAGAAATAAAGCTTTTATGCTTGCATAAGCCTGAACAGCCACAAGCCATATTGGTTTCTCTCAAGCCAGAACTCAAGTTGGGACCTTTGAACCTTAAAGTCCTCAGAAGTTTGAAGCCTGTATGCATTAGACATGAAACAGTGAGTAGAAGAATTCTAGGCAAAAAGAGAAAAATTCTGAAGACCACTAAATCAAACTGGGTGACAGAGAGCAGCTCAGCTTGCAGCACTTGAACCTGCACCAGTGTCAGAGTGGTCCCAGGCTGATTTAAAGCAAGTACATGTTCACTGCTCTGGCTCTGCTCCAGGCCCTGCCCAGCACAGCACCTTCAAACTCTGATTCTCTGCATCCAGAACCAACCACAGAGCTGCAGCAGAGTGCAACATTCTACACCAGACCCAAACTCCAGGGCTACTACCATGGCATTTCTGCTCCTTCGTGCGTGGAGACTTTGGACACAAAAGCCTTCATGCTCTCAGCAACTGTTTCCAAGTCATAGTTTTGCTCTTCCTCATTTGTGGAAGGAAGGGACTCATTTCTTGTCTCCTTCAGCATCTGATCCAGAGCATCTGGTGTAATATCCAGCCAGCTGTCATCTGAAAGAACACAGGACAGATCTGTTATTCTGCACAAGCCTGCTGGCCCCAGGGCCCAAACCAGCTGACTGCCACCATCCTGCAGCTCAGTTCTGCACTTGAGATTTTGTGCTGATCCTAGGTCACACACAGCAAAAGGCAGAGAGAGCCTGTAAAGAACAGAGTGGAGATCTCTTTTCACTACTTTAAAACTCTGCTTTGCAGAGCTCAAACTAAGAGAGACCATTCTAGTCACTGAGAAGCCTTTGGCCACTAAGTGGAGGAAGAAAGGCTCACTCTAAATTGGGAGAGCCAATCCAGTATTTAGTCTTAAGGAACACTGGATTTGCTCTCCCTTCACAGCTGTCAGCATTGCTCCTCTCTCCCCACAATCATCAGTAATAGGAATAATTCCCCCCATCCAGCTCACCATCCTCTGCAGGAAGACAAGCTGCTTCTCTCTCAAATTCCTTCAGATCAATGGGTGTTGTCTGTAGTAGTGCCAGGATTTCATCACCTGGGCTCACTTCATCAGAGCTAGGAGAAAAGAAGTCAATTTACTGAAATGGATTCAATGGGATCACATGCTTTGCATTCAGGCTTTCACTTGAATTCTTCATTTTTCCTTCTGTGCAAACACAGAAGAAAAAAGGGAAATGAACCTGGGGGAAGTACCAGAGTACCACCCAGAGTATTGGCCAAAACAGGACACAGTCAGTCCCTGCAATTCCCACCTGATGGCTCCAAAGCCCATTGGTCATGGCTCTTTTTCTTTACATTTAATTTGCCTTGGTAAATATTAAGATTGCCAGATTCCAAGCAGCACAGACTGTAAACTCAAAAATCTAACAGTCAAGGTACTACGAGCTGGCAAAACCTCAGATATTTCTGTAGTGAGTTATTTTTTGCATTTGACCTTCTAGAGAAATCTACAGCCAGCTCCTTGAGCAAAGGAGACAGATTACTCTGTATTTATTATTCACTGGGACTGCTTTTCAATGAAACTTTTCTACACTTCCTACAGTCAACCAAGCAAAAATTGCTTTGCAGTCACCACTTGGAATCCACTTGGAAGAGCTCAGCATTTCACAAAACCAAGATAAAGAGTTACTCAAGCCAGAGCTTCTCCCAGTGGAGTATTCCAGAGGAATTAGTACTTGCATGTCCTGGCCACAGCTCCCATGGTGAATGTACCATGGAGAAAAGGGTTCAGGTGTTTGTAACAAGGATTTCACAGGTCCCTTAAAGGATTTGTAGGGTATGTGACACTCATGGATTTCAAGTAGCTCTCACCTTTCTGGCACAGCAACGGATTGCTGGAAGTGATCTTCTGCCATGTGCAGCAGTTCCAGGTACTTGGCTGATCCTTCCATTTCTCCCTGTTTAATGCAAGTCACAGGCATGAACCCAAACAATTCTCCCTACCCTTCCTCTTCACAGGCAGGCTTCCTAAGGATGACTGTTGGTCACACAGAAATGCTGAGAGGACCAAAACAAGTAAAAGCTCTTTGCCATGCACACTTGGAACCCAATACAGCAAAGGGGCATCCCTATATCTGAAGTACATTAAAGTATCTTAACCCAAGAATCTCAATAACATTGTCTCCAATTTTATAACCTTAAAATAAGTACTCAATTTATGTCCAATTTATTAACTTCAAAGTAGTCAAAGGCATCTTTAAAAAAAAAAAAAAAAGCCCCACAAGATCTCACCAAAACCCCCAGAAGTCACAAAAACCACACACACATAAAAATTACACTTGCATGGGCCCAGACAGGTCTATGGTGTTATGTATGGATCTTGAAGAATATTTAATTCTAGAGGGGTGGAAATGAAATGTAAACCAGTGAAATCAGTTACAGCTCACACAATCACATATGGTGGTTTTCTTCATTCAAGTGTATTTCTCCCCTTGCTTTAGATGAATGAACCAACCCCAAATCTTTCTTTTTCCTTGTTAATTTCCAAAATAAATTACTTTCAAAGGGGAACAAACTGTGCACGTCCCCTTTAAAGACATTAATTCACTTTACACAGAGATAAGGATTCAAGCTCTTGCCCCAAAGCAACTCCTCACACAAGTTCAAGGGTTAAAATGTATTTTCCCTGGCATGTTTAAAAGCCACAGACACACTGCTTCACCTTGAAATAATCCTTCTCCTTCAAGCTCCTGAGGAATCTCTCCCACAGAGGACCGCTCACCACGTTTCTCTTGGCATCAGGAGCTACTTTACTGCTCTTGGAGCACAACATTTCAAAGCCATGAGCCTGCAGACAAAAGGTGCAACAACAGGAGGTTCTCAAGGTGTGATGGACTTGGCTCCATTTTTCTGGACAAGCAGGCAACTTCCAGACAACGACTCCTTCCCGGACATACATGAACCAAGCCCAAAATGCACCACAATCATTACCAGCTTCATGCCCAGCTCGTAGGCTCGGTACTGAGGATGAGAGGGGGCGGGCAGGGTGTATCCACTGCGTCTGTCTGGAACAAACTGCTGCTGCACCAGCTGTGCGTACAAACACCGAGTGAAAGTCACCTGGAACAGCCAGAGCAGAAACAAACCCTGCCTGCAGCGTCACTGTGCTGGGGACAGGCACCAAACTGCCCCCAGGCTCACCAGAGTGTGCTTGAAGGCACCACATTACAGGCAGTCCCTGAGACTGCATCCAAAATATGTCTTAACAGATTTTTCTGATAAATTGCTTTTCAGGCTTTACAGAGTATGTCCCAAATTGAAATCCCCAACTAAATATGAACTTTTGTCAGTCTAAATATATTAGGAAAAATCCTCAGTATTTTGTATTCACATTAAGAAGGTGTATTTTCAATTAAAATGAAAATTGATTAAAAGATTTCAGCAACAGTTTCCAAGTCCAAAATTTGACTCTAAAGCTTCTTTTAGGAGTCTAGTGGTACAACTCTGTAACAAAATGCATCAGATACAACAGTGCTTGGACAGTGCTCATAAAACACTTCCTAAAAGCTTTCACAGAGCTGTGAGAGCACAGCTGAGAAGGTGAAAAGCCTGGGAGTGAACCAGTGGTTAGGAGCAACTCCTCCCGTTGGCTGGCACGGCTGTCAAAGTGCTCTGATCACACAAGGAGATCAATTTACTCAGCAGGCACTTCAGCAGAGGAACTGTTATCACAACCTCTGGTTTCAGACACAACTCTCTCATGATCACACCCCTGAAAGTCCAGCCACATCGATCCAGACCAGCTATTAATGTAATGACCCGGAAATTCATCCCTACAGCCAGAAGGGGGAAAAAACCCAACAGGAAAGTCGCAGTTTTAAGTTAAATCTCTGTGTTTATACCATTGGCCACAGAACCCCTGTCAGTGACAGAGGGGAATGAAGTGACAAGGCTTTAGAGAGCACTTACCAGGCCATCACAGGCTTTAGAGGAGCACAGAGCAGGGCCATCAGAGGCTCTGAGCACTTACCAGGGCCATCACTCGCTGCTCGGCAGGGAAGGTTCTGAAAGGGCGCCGGCAGGCCCCCAGGTCGCTGGGATCCCGCAGGTAGAAGGCCTGGACTGCCGCAGCCACCAGGGACGGGCGCAGCCTCAGCACGGCCGCGATTCCGGCCGGGAGGAAGCAGCGGGCTCGGTGCAGCGAGGCCTGGATCTTCTCGGGATACCTGAACGGCAACAGAGTGTGGCAAGTTCAACCACTCCTTCTGTATCATGAGGCCCCTTTCCCTTCAATATTTATCATGGGTCAGAAGATTACTCTGGAGCTAAAACGCGGCCAATCTAATGCCCAGAATGTCTGCTTCTGTAAGACATATTTATAGAAGTGTATACGGCTCATAAAACTGAATCCCCCACATGGGTAAGATGAGTGCCTGAGGACTTAACCAACACATCCAGCTATGCAGTATTCTTTGCCATATTTGCTGTCAAATTGTTGTAAAAAATAAAGAACTGGGCTGAACAGAGCTGTGACAAACTGAAGCTCTGACATTTCTCGTGGTTCTACATTTTAGGTCAAATCCTCTTTTTCCTTGTGCACAGGGCTCCTAAAAGATCACAGAACTTTCAGATTTTTCAGTCTCAGAAGAATGTGAAGGAAGAGTAACTCTTGTCATGGTCAGGGGTGGAATTACAGCAGTGAACCAGTTTGAGATGCCCAGATCACAGCCTACAGGACACTCTTTCCAAGAGTGCCACAGAAAAACCTCCAGCTGCTGATTTCTGAAAAGGAACCAACTTTATCCCATCTGCTGGGGAAATGTTTGAAGCCCAGGGAGCACAGAACCAAACCCCAGCACTGCAGAGGACAGAAAGGCAGCCCCACGTACCCATGGATGCGTTTGTCCAGCGCAGCTCTGATGGGCTCTGCAGCCAGGAACTCCTCGGAGCGGGTGGATAACAGAGCCAGTGCCTGCGGCACCGTGGGACAGGGAGCAGAGAGGGCCCAGCCCTGCTCCGAGGGCTCCCACGGCGGAATGATGTGCAGCTCTCCTTTGTAAAAGAACACCTGGCAGGCAGGAATGCTCCCGTCACACAGGGTAAGAGCAGTCACACACAGAGCCACGGAAAATTGCATTTATATACAAATGCATCTGTTTGAGCACAGAGAATATCAAGGACAAACAGAGAACCAATGCAGGGAGCAGCACAGCTTTTCTAAAAAAGTTATTTGAGATGCCAGAGACCACGATCCAAACAGTAAAAATCCCTATTCTAACTGCAACAAGTTTCATCACATATATCTCGTTTCCATAACAACAACACCACGTTTCTCTTCAACTGGAGAAGTGCTTCAGGAGAACCAGCATAACCTAACTGCTCCGGAGCATCCCAGGGATTAAAGAGCATTATTTCAGGTGCTACAGGCGACCTCTGCTGGTTCCTGATGCTGGGAAAAGCCCTGAGTGCAATGTTCTCAACTCCCTCACTCTGTTCCCTCAAACAAAAGGAAAACATGAGCCTGACACTCCAGGTGCACACTTGCAGTCAATTTTGGTGCTGTGTGCCAGCCCTTTTAAAGAATGTGGGTGTAGGGGAAAAATAATGAAACAAGTTTTCGCTAATGACCAAATTAATTATCTCCGTTTTAATCCATTGCCATTAGCAACCATCCATATCCAGGTGAAGGTGTCTGCTCATTATTTCACCTGCACCAGACAAAGCCTGTGTCCTTACAGAGACAGCAACACCCCAGCCCTGAGCATTCTCCATTCTGAGGGCAGCAAATCCTCTGGCCTAAAGACTCCACAGTATGGAAAAAAAATACTGAAGGTGTCTGCTCCTTAATTCATATGTGCCAGACAAAGCCTGTGTCCTTCCAGAGACAGCAACACTCCAGCCCTGAGCATTCCTTACTCTGAGGGCAGCAAATCCTCTGGCCTAAACACTCACAGTCCAAGTGGTTCAGCAGAGCTAGAAGGTTCAGATGGATACAGGAGTGCTCCTGAAGGGAGCATCAGCAAGGGACAGACAGCACTCTGGATGTTCAGAGGCAGTCAGGCCACTTGGCTAGAGGTGCAAGAGAAAACTCCAGCTGCTACAGAAAAGGCCACTGTGGCCACCTTGCCAACTGTACACAAGTTTTACTCACCCTGTTTTCACTGTTCTCAGGATTCAGCCACTTTGGGAGAAAATCAGCTGCTTCTATCAAGAGAAACTCTCCATCGTTGTCATCAATACTGGCCAAGGAGGAATTGGAAATTTAGTAGGAAAAGCCTTGCAGAGCACAACAGCACACTTCTGAATCCATGTCCCTTGGGGTTTTTTTTTAATATTCATAAAGCCATGGAAAGTCTAAGGTTAGATGGGAACATAAAGATCAACACCTGGTTCCAAGCCCCCTGCCCCAGGCAGGCACACCCTGCACTAGCCCAGGCTGCTCCAAGCCCCATCCAACCTGCCCTTGGACACTTCCAATCACACGCTCCCGGTTCCCGGCCGCCGGGTCCCCCTCACAGTCCCCCCGCTCCTCCCGCCGTGCCTCCCGGCCCGCTCCCGGCTCACCGCGGCGGGGCACGTAGCGGAGGCGGAACGGCTCCCGCTGCCACACGTAGGCGGCCAGGAGCGGGGCGAAGCGCACCAGGGCCAGCTCAGCGCAGCGCCGCAGCAGCGCCTCGCCGCCCGGGCCCGCCGCCGCCGCGGCGAACAGGCGGTAGCGCACCGTATCCTCGGGCAGCGCCGGCCGCCGCAGCGCCTCCATCGCGCCGGGGCCGCGCTCCGCCCCGGGGAGGAGCGGCGCGATGGCGGCGGCGGCGGGGCGGCGGCGCTGAGGATGATATCGCGATACGCGCGGAAACCGGTGCAGGCGTGAGTGGCTGCCGCTGCCCCGGTGCCCGGCGCGGCCCCGAGCCCCAGCGCGGTCCCGGTCGCGATCCCCCCGGCCCCGCTCCCGGGCCTGCCGCCCGCGCTGCCCCCAGCACCGAGCAGGGCCCGTGACGGCCCGGTCAGCCCCTGTTCCCGACGGGAGATGGTTCCCGGCATTCCCGGGATCCCTGAGCATCGGTCCCGGCCAGATACCGGTGTGACAGAACGCGATTAAATCCCTGTAATTGGCTTTTTTCCCTTGACCCAAGAGTTGGGCCAGTTCTGCTTTACTCGGCTCGTTTACTCTCGTTCTATTTCATTTAATTTAATGGACTTAATCTGCAGGGATAATGGCGTTGTCTGCTTTTAGGGAGCTGTAGCCCAATTCACAGCATCTTAAGGTTAAGTTTAACTGATTTTGAAGCCAAGACCTTTAAGTCCATATTTATCCTAGAGTTAGTTTTGACACTTTAAACCTAGAGCTTTGGCGACAAGAATTAGCTTTGTAATAGTAATAAATGTGTGCACAGTCCTTGAGAAGCAGGGAAAAAAAGCCTATAAAACTTATTGGGAACTCCATTAATGTTTATTCTTGTAAGTTATGCCAAGCTGCGCTTCTGTTTTTTCAGACAAGGACTCCCAAAGCATGCCCTGAGGCATCACCCACCGCCAGAGCCAGGGGCTCAGGTGTGCTCAGCCACATCCACGGCTGGAAACCTCGCCCAGACCTCCAGGTACTTGTGACACGTCTGATCCAGCAGTTCTGGTACAGCCAGGCTTTGTTTACTGACACACTCATCTGTCATTGTTTATTGTGGGCTGATTTGCTTTCTTTTTGTTTTTGGTTGTGGCTCGACGTGCGCGTTTCAGGGAGTCGGGAATCCATAAGGGATCGAATGATCATGGGGATGCACGGACTGCGAGTCAGGGTTGTGCTGACACCTCCACAGAAGACAGCTCGGTCTTCTCTTGGGGCTATGACGTGAGTAGAACATAATCCTCCAAGCCAAATCGAGCACAGAAAGACATTTGAAATACCGCTGCAAAGACATCTCAGAAAAAACAAAAATTGGATCTGACAGAAAATCATGGTAGTGAGTACAGAAAGAACATCTTTTTTACTGCTTTCCGTCTTTCAGTTCAAAACACATTAGACTCATACTATTCTGTTAATATTCTGTATTTCCACCAAAACATTTGAAAATTCAAGTCATTTAGTGCACAGAAGTATCTATAAATGCTGTTATTGTGGAACCCCAGACATGGCTGGATGACTTTCAGACACTTGGTGTGTGTCTATCAAACTTCTGCCCTCGCATGTTTCTCAAAATATGGGAAGCTGCTAAAACATTATTTTCGTTCAGAAATGTTTGATTTATTCTCCTGCCACCAAAGTCAAGTGTGTTGTTGCCTTCTGGGAGGTGAGATGGAGCTGTTTAGATTTAAATGACCCCAGAACTGACCCCATTTTCTATCACATGTAACAAAGGGCCTGACCATCCCTCAGGTTCAGTGTTTCCCACCAGCCTGCATTGCTTTTAGTGTTGCTGCTGTTTGTGGACACTGGAAGCAAGAAATCCTCCACTGCATTAAAATATCACTGAATTTTATCCTTCCCCTTCTGATTCCTTTAAGTCTTGTAGCTTAATATAATAATATGGATATTTCAAAATGTTTTAATAGTTTTTTCTGCTGTGTCAATGTAAGCTTTTTATGTGGCTGCCATCCATCTTAAGAGCAGGCTGCATCATCTCTGGGAGAAAATCATTTAAAGTGAAAATCTTTTTCTGCAGTCCTGCTAAGCTGTAAACAAATAGTTGTGTTTTCTAATTATATTTCAAAAGATCAGTTAAGAAACCCCTGCAAATGCTATTCACCGAGTATTTTCTTTCCTCTCCAGGAGTTTGACAAAGCTGCCACACAGCAAGTTCAGCAGATGTTCAGACAAGTTGATGAGCTTCTGTATGAGCAGAAGGAGACCGTTCATGTTGAGGGACTGCGGGAAGAATGCCACCAGTGGTCCTCCAGCTTTCCTCATCTCAGGTACTTCATTAATGGGCTGATGCTGCTGCCTTCCCTACAAGGCTGCTTTTAAAATAGGGCAGGGTGGGTTTGTGCAGTTATGCAGGAGACAGAGATAAAAAGATCACTCTGGTGATGTGCCTGCCTGTCATTAATAAACATCCTCTTACCTCACACGTGGCTCTTTGGCAGAGATTTGTGGCTATCTGTGGCTGACTTAGCCTTGACAGAGCAGAATTCTCTTAGAAAACTGAAAGTGTCACCAGGAAAACTGCACAGCTTCCCAGGAGAACTTCTAGGATTTGCTGCTGTTCTGACACCCTTCAGTAATTGCACAGCCAAGGTTTTCTGCTGTGTTTCTCCTTTGCTTTTGCTGTGGCAGGGTGGTGGGGAAGCAGGTGGTGGCCCCCACAGATGAAGGGTATGGATGGTACTCGAGTTCCCCCTCGGGCAGTTTGGCTCCCTCGGATGTAAGTTCACCACAGGAAAAGGATTCTGATGAGTAAGTACTGGCAGTGAGCCTGGATCATGCCAAGGTGGGAAGGCAGGTTTCTTCTCTGCTTCTTAGAGTGTGCAGCCTTCCTGTTAGGCTGAGTTTTGAACACAGCACACTCTTTTTTTTTTTTTTCCCCTTTTTAACTGAATTGAGTACACTTAGAATAGCAAGAACACGTAGCTGTGCTTTTGCTGACTACAGTGAACTGGCCAGTAAACAGAAATATCTTTGCTGCTGGTGATTTCTTAAGAATATGTGTACACTGTTGTTGGTTTTATTATTAATCACCTGTTGAATTTGCCTAGGCTTTAAAAATACAAAGCATGATGTTAGTGCTGCTTTTATTATTTAATGTTTCAGAATGCTTTCTAATCAGCTTTGGATATTTTTTTCCCTGAAGTTTCAGGTTCCTTAGCAAGAATTAAAAGGTATCCAAACCAGAAGTTGCTACTGTAATGAATAATTTTTTGTCCTCGCTACTGCTTACCTTTAACAACTATGCTTGTCTCTCAGTTATTTGAGGTTGAATAACAACTTATCTTTGTTTCTGCTTTCTGAAAACTGTCACCTGTCCAGATTTAGCGTTTTGGGCAAGAAGGTGCCTCTTTTTGTTGCTCCTGCTCACAAAAAGGCCAACCCTTCCAAGGCTCCGACCTTGTGTTCCTCAGAGAGCGGTGAAGGGGAAGAGGAAGTCATTCTCTCCGAAGGCATAGTGGAGGAATACTTGGCATTTGACCACAGAGATGTGTAAGTATTGAAGGTTAAAATAGTGTCCTGGGGCTCCTGCAGTTAAGACACACATACTTGATGAATTTATTTATCTTTTCTCTACAGAGCTTTCAAAGGCCTGAGGTTGCCTGGGCACTGGGAATTTTCCCAACCTGTTTCCTAGGACAATTTCTTTCACTAAATTATGTTTAGGAATTTTTTGATAATTTTTCATGCTGTTTTTTGTGCTTGGTTTGAATAATTCATTCCATCATAACTAATAGCCTGTGTATTTAATAATATGTGTTTAAACACCGTTTATTTTTAACACCACGTCAAATTCACTGCTGTTAGTTGTGCAACAGCAGTGTGCTGCTTCTGTTTTGGGTGGAATTGTACCTTTTTGGAATTTTTTCAGTGGTAGTTTTAAGAACTAGAGTGGATTTTATGCTTGTCAAGAAACAATTACTACTATTTTTATCTTTTTACCCCTTTACATTATTTAGTACAGTATACATACAGTATGAACATATGGCCTGAGTAAGGACTCTGGAGGGTGCTGTCAATTCCTGACTACTTAATTGGTTTTGATAATTAAAGCCACTTATCTGCATGGACCATTAAATTAAAACTGTTATCTTTCTTGGTTTTAGCAGACTAGAGAGACATTGCTGCAGCAAAAAAAATATCACTGTCTTGTTTTCAGGATTCTGTCCTGTCATTAGATATGGAGCCTAACAATGTGATGAAGAAATATCACTGTAACAACTAATTCTGATTTTTTGACATGAATTTGATCTCATGGGTAAATTTTTGTTCATGGAGTATGATTTATAATCATTCTGTATAGGGAGACCAGGGTGGGTCTGTCATTTCTCACTGAGGTCAGTGGGAAAACTGAAAATAAATATAGGACATAATGTGTTTCTGGTGCAGGTAATACTTACATTTTTACAGGGAGGAGGAATTGCACGAGAGGAAAATGGGACTGTCCTCTGGCAGACGGAAATTGGGGTTTCCTCCTGTCTCTCCCTATTCCTGCATGAAGGATTCCGTGCTCACCTTTGTGTTTGATGATGTGTGGAGTGAAGTCCTGGTTTGCATGGAAGAGTTGATCTGCAGGCACTGGGAAGGGTCAGCCTCTGGTAAGGATTCATGTTAAGGTGAGGGCTCAAAAGGGGATTTCAGCTAATTTTGCAAAGATGCCATGGGAGAGTGATATATTTGGGAATGATCTGTTCAGTGGAAATATAAAGGTTATTTTGCTAACAGTGTGAAACACATCTTCAAAAAACTTAGCAGAGCTTGTCATCCAAGGGGACTCTCTCTAAGAAAATTCTGATTCATGGCAATGCCAATATTGACAGGAATTCTGTTGCTTTGCACAGATGATGAGAAAAATATCATAACAGTGGAAACGCTCCGAGCAGATGCCAGAAGCCCTTTGCAGTTGGATCCTCTGCCAGCACTGCTACCTCGGGTGCCACACACAAAGATGCCCTCAGTGGCATCAAATCTGGTAAGGATTTTTAGCCAGCTGCTGTTTTGTGTGGGGATGAATCACAGTGTTACCTCAGCAGACAGAGTGGTTGTGTTTAGGTTAATAACTGGTTTGGACTTTGTGTGAATGCTGGCTGTCCTTTCTGACACTTCAGTCCTGTTGTTACTCATTTGGAAGTTTTAATTCCTACTTTCCTCCCTGA